AACCTCTCTCCAGCCTTGGGAAAATCATGTGATTCTGTGGCCAAAAAACAAAGCCTCCCCCTGGGGCTACTTCAGTTACACTTCTGTATCAGAGTAGGCGGTGACACTGCAGTCACAAGGAAACCAAGCGCAGCTGCCACATCCACTGAGGACTGCTCATCACAGTCACCCAGGACACCGGGCTGATGGGGACTCCACCTCCTCAGGGCTCCATGGCCTCCGGGACAGAGGAGGGCAGTGTGGCCGGCTCCACGCTGGCTCTCAGCCTCTGCCTGGGAGTATTGTTCGTTACTTCCGCTTGCCAGTCCCCACAGAAGGCAGGTCACATAGCCACACTTGAGTTGCAGTGGGTAGAGAAGCACCCTCCTTCCTGGTGACCAGAACGATGTTAGCCCTAGGGACCCACCGGCTCCTGACAACTGGCCCTCGAATGTGCAGCCAACGAGCTCTGTGGCTGCAGCGCTGTGGGGGTCAGTGTCCCTCTCAGCGGGCCCGTTAGCCCAGACCTCAAGGGGCCCAGACTTTCTGAAACTTCAGACCAAGACTGAAGGAGCAACGTCTTCCTATATTTTCATACAAAAGTCATAACAAGGAATAGAACTATGTGGGGACTGTTCAAACCACATGGAAAAGAATGTTAAAGCACATTCTTCCAAAGAATAACTGATGTGATGCCAATCACTGATTCACTGATTCACGTGGCAAATCACACAGGACGCCCACCACACTGTGTCACATGGCGCTGAAGACACACTAGTGACGTTGAGGACAGACACGCGCAGCCCTCGCACAGCCCTCACCTCACGGGGAAGATGGTGTGAACTCCACACACACAAGTACGTGTGAAGCCACAGCTGCGACGGGGCTACGGGAGAACACGGAGTTAGAAGGGAATCTGGTGGGATTTCACACACGCGGGAGACCAGCGAACATTTCCTCCACTGTGACCATTAATTTGGAGATGGAAGGAAGTGGGAGACGGGTGGGTCTTGCCAAAGGAAGAAAGCATTTCCCGGGAAAGAGAGAGGCTCAAGGTTCAAGTGTGATGAGAATGGAGAAATGTGCTGGATTTGGTGGCATGAGGTCAAGAGCTGTGTCTGTCACAATGGGCAGAAGCCAGAAGAAGCCACGGAGGAGGGAAGATGGAGGGGGTGAGGAGAGACCCCTGGCTCCAAACCCTGGCTCTGCAAGCGAGGGCGGATGGGTGCCGCCCGCGGAGAAGTGAGGCCAAGAGAGGGGTCAGTTTTGTGGGTCACAGGGGAGCTTTGAGCGTGTTTCACATCCAGCCAGGAGGAGTCAAGCAAAGGGAGGAGTCGAATATCAAAAAAAAAGAGAATAAGTAAGTAACAGCACAGCTCCTGGGAAGCTCTCAGAACTTGGGGTTCAAAGCTGGGAGAAGGCAGGACACTCCATCGTGAAGGAGGGGAAGGTGGGTGCCGTTAAACAGTCACCCACACATCACTACCTGTCCCATAGCCCTTCCCCACCTTGTTTGTAAAACTCCCAATTTTTTCCCAGTACTACACATAATTAGGGGAGCCTGGGACCCTTTCCAGACACCGGAAGTAAATGTTGATTTGTCTACACCACCAAAGGTCAATTGCGCCTCCCCGGCTAGTGGTAAAAATTAGGCAAAGACACGTGGTGGGCGTCTGGGGGCCCCTGCGAGAGCCTCTTCTCACTATGTGAAAAAGACAGAGGCAAGAAAATAGTCTCTCCACTCTTCGTGTCCACGTTCACGTGTCCCAGTGTGCCACCCAGAGCTGAGCGAGGCTGGGTGGGCAGTGGGAAGAACCGGCCCATTCTGGAAGCTCCTATTACACGGAAGGCCCGACGTCCATCATGCGTGCAACGCGTGTCCCCTACTGTTTAGACACTTTTCTGAGGCTTTCTGCTCTTTGTGTCTGAAAGCAGCTTAACAGACCAAGCACTAACTGCGCATTTTAACTTATCCATTAAGTGGACCCCACAGACGGCCGTTAGCTTGGTGCGAGCTACTCCACACACCAGAAAGGTCCCACCGTTTAAAGCTCATTATGTTTTTTTCTAATTAAACGATTCAGAGATTACACAAATTGGACTAACCGTCTCCTAATTAGTCAGCGTTATTTGGGTTGACGTTAGTTAGTGTCTCATTGTCAGCTCTTCCTCTGGAGTGTAATGACTTAGAAGGTGGCTTGGCACGTGCTGAGCGGTGGTGGCGGGGCCATCTCAGTGAGGCGTTTTCCTCACACGACTCTGAACATGACTGAATTCCAGGAGAGGACAGAGCTGCACCCAAACCTTCTTGACTTCAGAAGAAAATAAAAGGATGACTGAAGATGGACTGTATCCCATGTCACGATAGGTGACCAGCAGAGTAATGCCTCCTCACAGCCACGTCACTTCCAGCGTGTCAGCCCCTGGCTTTCTGTCCCTTTCACGTTCATCCTATTTCCCACAAACCAGGCTTCCCATCCTGTTCCGGAACCACTTAGCGCAGGACAAATAGAGTTCAGTGACTTTGAAGCGTCACCATGATACAGGTAACCGAGGGCACTCAGTTTCCTGAAAATACAGTTTCTCTAGCGGGGCATCGTGATTCTGCTTGTCTCGCAAGCCAAAGACAGACACCAACAGAACTCCTTAAGGGTCTCAATGTCAAGTTAGTTCTCAAGAATGAGCCTTTATGACCAGGAGCCCTGGAACATGAGACTGTGCTTCCGACACGTGCAGGAAAGAGGTGCTCTGGGGAGGTGAACCACGGGAGTCAGTCAGCTGACGGAAAACCACAGGACTGAAGGCAGACAGCGATGTGGGCGATTGCGAGTGTAGGCTTTGCTCTGTGGCTGAGCTAAAAAGAAAGCAATTCGAAGACAGAACCGGAAAAACAGGAGCATCTTAGAAATCTGAGCACAGGTCAAAACGCACAGTTAGCAGCCATGTTGGGCTGTCGGGAAGAGTAACCTCAGAGCAGCTGTGACTTCTCTGTATCTCTCGGTTCCTGACGCTTGCTTGCCGTGTCCCAAAGCAGCTGACCTCCCCTCTCTGCACAGCTTCTGGGACTCCGTGGGCTGACTTGGAAGCCCTGAGGACGAGCTTCCAGACACTGGGATAAGGGAAGCTTGAGGAGGCCACACTGTCCATCTAGCTCCTCGTCCCAGAAAAGCAAACATTGTGTGAAGTCACCTCCCAGCAGCAAAGGACAGCCCGCCGTCTGCCTAAAATGACTTAGTTTACTTATTACTATTACAGTGCTTAAATGCACACAAAAAAAATACTTAAACTGTTATTTTGGGTTTTAAGAAAAAAACAAATCTTTTGGTCATTTTTTGTCATGTCAAGGAAAAGAATAAATTATATTACTAGTGATTTAGAAAATACAACAGGACACACGGGTAAAGTGTTCAAAATGTCAAGAGGAAGAGGAAAGCTAATATATTAAGACACAGTCTTTCACATTTGTGAAACACGTCACAGGAAAGAAAAATGGCAGAAATCAACAATAAATGGCAAAGTTAAGAGTGATGGATTGCCTCAGGCGGAGCAGGGACGCTCGCTGGCCAGCGGGGTTCGGGGTACATAATTACACACACAGGGTCGGGGCCCAGTCTACTTAAGGGAAGTGAAAATGGGGCTCACATGCTAATATTGACCTTTTACAGAAGATAAATGCTTTTCTCAACTACTAACGATTGGACACGCACTCTCACTTCCTTCAGGTCGACACTGAGACAAAGCTGTGCGTTTTAGAGCTGGGCAGGAGCAGAGACGAGGCCGAGGGCAGTGACCTGTCCCCACACTCGGGGTGGAGGCAGAGCTGGGCTGCAGCCCCAGCCTGGCCCTCCGTTGTGACCTCTGTCCAGGCACGAGGCCTTGATGTCGGCACCCCTACCTTTCTCACTCGCCCATGCCTCCCTCGCCCACCTCATCTGCTCCCCCCATCTCCTCCTGGACCCTCCATAGGACCCCACTCCACTGAGCGAGGGTCCACAATTCCCCGGCCCTGGGCTGGGTACTCACATGTGTGACATCACTTAGCATCTCACACACCTGCATAGACACAGCCTCATCGCCTGGATAAGCAGACTGAGCCCGAGTCGGAAAGCTAGGAAGTGGCCGGTCTATGATTCCCAACCATGCTGTCTGATGTACCTGTCACTCCATCACTCCATCCTCCCATCACTCCATCCCTCCATCCCTCCATCACTCCATCACTCCATCCTCCTGTCACTCCTTCACTCTATCACCCCGTCACTTCATCACTCCATCACTCCTTCCTCCCGTCACTCCGTCACTCTATCACTCCATTACTCCATCACCCCACCCCTCCACCCTCCCATCACTCCATCCTCCCGTCACTCTGTCATTCCATCCTACTCCATCACTCCATCCTCCTCTCACTCCTTCACTCTATCACCCTGTGACTTCATCACTCCATCACCCCATCACTCCTTCACTCCACAAATTATTAAGGGCCTCCCACCTGCCAGAAATTCTACCAGGGACAAAGGCCACAGCCATGAGCAGAGCAGACCCACCCCTCCCTTATGGGGTTATAGCTCAGTGGAGCAAAGAGACAGTAATGCAGGAAGGACAGAGCTCACTATGCAGTCACAAACCATGACAAGTGTTAAGAAGGGTCCTGGTAGCGGAAGAGCGTGTGAGGGAGAGATGGGCAGAGGGGAAAATGTGTGACATAGGATCTGAAGGACAAGCAATAGCCAACTGAAGGGGACCCAGAGCATTGCAGAGGCCAGGGGGAGCCTGGGGCGGGGTTGGGGATGAGAGGCAGGCAGGCAGAGGCTGACAGAGCAGAGACCAGGAGGTGGCGGCACCGCCGTGCGATGCTCATGACCCACCTGGTCCACAGGCACCTCCACCTGCACGTCCTGGGCCTCCTCAACTTCCGGCACCCCTTGGGTTTCCGTGTTAGGAGTCTGGGCTTTATACACGTCACTTTCTGGAGAAAAATAACACACAGCGTTTTCAAACCAATGTCCATTGTACATTTTCTGACCCAAACCAGAGTTACAGTTCAGCATCCTCTGAGCTTCCTGTGTCACGGTCAGAAGGCCTGGACCGGGGAGCCCCAGGCCCTGCTGGCCAGCTCACCTCGTGTGCCCATAGCTCTGGCTTTTGCTTCAGTAAAGGCACTGGGCTCAGTGGGCTTAGATGTCTCCTTGTCTGTGTTACGTCCTTGTCCCCACAGAGACCCTGAACCCACTGCTCTGTCCCACCTATCATGGGACTCATCCCAGAGACGAAGTAGACTGAACATTTGACAAGCATGTGTCCAGTTAATTCAGTCAGAAAGAAACACAAAACAACCCACCTGACATCAAAGTCAGACTTTAAGGGCATGCAACTTCACAATTTCAAATTACTTCAAGAACTGTGTTCGAACATGAGTTTTCACAAACTATGTGCTAAAGTTGGGCTCACGTACTCAAGTTCATTGACAGATAAAAATCATTCTAATTATTAATAATAGCTTTACAATCGAATGTAGTAAATGCTTATAAAACTCCCAGGTTCTTGGCAAAGTCTATGCTCACCCTGGTCAGAAGCAACAGGTGACAGCAGAAGATAGAGAAGTGGGCGAGCCACTTCCTTCAACCCCCAAAAACACACAGATGGGGCCACTGACGAACTCCATGGTCCAAAATGGGACACTCCAACCACAGACCCATCCTGCATCTCCGTCAAGAGTCCTGGGCCTCCGTCAGCCCTGACCGGTCTGTGCTTGTCCTTCACTACCCTCCCCGGCCCTCAGCCCCCAGAGGACCGCCCCCTGCTCTCACGGTGAAGGGCAAGAAGGCAGCATTCTCCGGAACCCCAAGTCCCAGGTACACCTCTGCATTTGATATTATTACTCGGGCAACCATGGGGCAAACCCACTGGCCTGTTTGCAGATAAGGGATTTGCCCGTGGTCACCAGGTTCTGGGGTCTTAGCTGGAGCTGGAGCCCCAGTGCCCATGCTGCTTCCCACAGGGAGGTCTGGCGTGTGCCCACGACCCCAGCTGCTCTGCAGGCTGTGTTTCGCCAAGACATGTCACATGGTGGTTACATTTCCTGTTACTGCTGATTTAGAATTTCAGGTGGCATAGGTTCCACAGGCTCTAGTCTCAGAACCAAGCTGACCACGGTCAGGCTGTAGGCAAACATGTCTGCCAGGCGGTGAGCGTGGAGAGGGGACACGTCTAAACAGCCCACATCGAGGGCCGGCAGAGTGGCTCAGTTGGTTAAGAGCTCGCTCAAGAGTTTGAGCTCTCAGCAACAGCGGTTCGATGCCAGCCCGAGCTGAGCAGCCGCTAAGCTACCAATAGGTAGCAGGATGGCTCAGCTAAAAAAATAATAATAATAAATAAATAAATAAACAGCCCACATCCCCGCCAGTGCCCGGCACGCTCCAGGAGCTGGGAGGGTCAGCAGGGGGACAGGAGCAGGATAAGGCGCTCGGGCACCCCGGCTGCGGCTGGAGGTCAGCAGGAGTGAGAGGGCAGCAGAGGACAAAGCTGAGCTGCGCAGCAAGGCAATGAAAGCCAAGGCTGAAGAGGTTTTAGGACAAATGGCTTCCAAACGCATCAGATGCTGCAGAGAAGAGAGGGAGCCCCCCACAACCCGCGGCCTGGCACCCAGCCTGAGCCCCACTACAGGCGAGGTGCTGGTGCGCTAGCAGCAGTGGCAGTGACAGGTCCTGCATGTAAAATTACTTCACTTTAAAATCCTTTCGAAGTTTCATCTTTTAACTGTCTCTCACAGGCAAAAAGTAAACCCAAACAACTCAGGTGGCTTTTGTTTTCACGTCTCCTCCAAAGGGTTGATTTATTACTGGGTTGTTTCCTGTGCCTTTAGTCCTTAGAGAAAATGTCTCCCCCACCCCCCACCCTTCACCCCCCACCATATACGTGTGGAGAACAGAGTTTCTCTTAAATACTCCACTCACGTGGAGGGCGTCCCTTTCTCAGTGCTGGAATTCTGTGCCACTACTGTCCCCACCAAGGCCCTACGAGCTGAACATTTTATTAGTAAATAGACCATACGGGGCGTAGCTTTGCAGCATGAAACTGGTCCAAGAAGAACCCACTGTTAACATGGTCACGTTTTTATCTCTGACCACGAAAGGGACTGTCACAGTGTCACCTTACCTGCATCGCTGCAGACTAAAGGTTTTCCCACTGTTTTCTTCTTTTCTTCTTTGGCGTAAAAGACAGAATCCTGGGCATCAGGTGCAGAGCTGGCCTGTTGGTGGGGTTCTTTTCCTTTGGGGTCCTCCTAAGGCACAGATTTAGAATAAGAGTGTTAGAAACAGCAGTGTCTGCATCTTATCAGCTTTTTGGAAAAGGATCAGGGACCGCACGCGGCTCCTCGGTGAAATGGGGCATTTGGAGCCCCCCCCCAGCACCGTCTGGACCCCGCTGTTCCCTACATTCCTCATCTGTAAAGTAGCAAAACAAACTTCCGTGTGTCCCTCCCTCAGAGGGACATGGTGGCAGTGCCCACCAGGAAGGGAAGGCCCATCTCTTCCTAACAAACCGTGGCCTTGTTACATGGCAGGACGCCTGATGAACTGAGGGGCTGCATTAGACGGCAGAAAGGCGAGTCTGGTCTGAGGAGGTCCGCGCAGCTTTAGCGACACTCCTTAGAGCCTAATAAAAATGGCTGCTTACACAACAGCTCCAAAACTATCCGTGCTGGAACCTCTGAGCAAGACGGGACATCTCCGATAAAAAGCTTTAAAAATTAGATTAAATGAAAAAAAAATAAAAGTTTGTTTAGGGTTCCATTACAGGGGAACTCAGATTTCTAAAAGATCTATAGATAATAGTAATAACGCATAACTAGACCACAGAGAAAGGTGAGCTTAGCACCATCCCAGCTCTATAGCATAGAATAGAATTCTACCTCAATTTCAAATCTGTCCCAATTCTCTATTTACAAGCCATCTTTTTAGTTTCTTTTCTTTCTATCTTTATGGAAGGATTTGGAAGTGAATACAGGCAGAAGCATCTAACTAGATATTTCTCTTAATCAACCTGTGTCATGTAAGAAAGTGAACTAAAAACACCTACCTTGTACCATGGAACATGCGGCACATGATGCCGACTACCAGGGGTTCTTTCCTTGTGGAAATAAAAGTGTGAAAACAGTCCTCCCGTCCTATCCGAGAACCAAGCAAAATCTTGCTACCTATTTTAAGGGGCTTTCCCGCAAGCTGAAATCGTGTTCATAAGTATAGGAGACAGATCTTGGCAGAGCTGGTCTTAGAAACAGAGAGTGGTATGTGAGCTTGTGTTTTGGCGGCAGCTGGGGGTTGGGGTCCTGAAAACCTACATGATTCTTCTTAGCATCACTGACGTCTGCTTGGTGCAATCATTTTCCATATCTCTAGCCTCTAAGATAAAGCACTATGTATTTACCTTATTACCTCAGAAATATACTCAAAGGACAATGACAAACAAATACTACTCACCCTCATATGAGGGCACAGAAGCAGTCATGACACAGAACCCAGGGCACAGAGCAACCAAAACTGCCTACGTTTGCACCAGCCGTCACCCCAGGCGTGGCAGTAAGACGACATGAGATGGTCCCACACCGACCTGGGCACACACAGAGCTTACAGGGCGGCAGGATGGCAGGTGACAAGTGGGCACACTGTCGTTAACCCAATGTATTCTTTAATCTCATACTTTACGTAACAGACACTTATGGGAATGCAAGATTTTAAAGCACCTTATTTTTATTTCTATGAAATGCGGGGCAGACCACCTCATGCCCTCCAGACAACACTGACACACGGCGCGCAAACTTCCGGCTCCCCACCACACCCCCCTGCACTTGACTTTGATTCTTACCTGAGTCTTAGATGCTTTCAAAGAAGCTGTAAATGACTCTCTTAATTATCTTAATTATTTAAACAGACCAAATTGTAATGTAAGTTGGAAAAACTAAAAAGCAGGCAACAGAATATTTACATCATTCCACTTAAATGAAGAAAATGAAATAAACCCTGAAAAATACACGAAGACCTTACAAAGTGCCTGCAGACCCACACCTGTCAGGGTGACTAGGCTCACATGTCCCCGTGCCCAGCCCACGTGTGACAGAACTGGAAACAGACGCGAAGGGCCTGGGCATGAAGCCAGAGCAGTGGACGCCGTCTGAGAGGACGGCGTTGCTCAGAAGAGCAGTGCACGCAGACGTCACCCTGAATGTCCCCCCACGCCCCACCAGCTCTGTGCCAGGCACATCACCTCCTCACGTTTTGTCTCAGTGCCCTCCAGACAACACGGGACGGGACACGGAGCCCCTCGCGGGTGGCAGTGAGGCCTGCAGGACCCGAGGACCCAGAGCCTGCTGGCACACAGGGCTCGCGGACTGTCCGAGCCGAAGGCCTGCGCGTCGGTCGGTGGAGGGCTCGGACCCTGAGCTACGGCGAGCGCTCAGGGGTGATTAAAGGTGGTTAGAGATCGGCCTGTGACGTGTCCCTGCTAAGGCCAGAAGACACCAGACTCCGTCAGGTTGCTGTCTTTCCTTTTTCACAAGTACTTACTTTTTTCTTTCTCTGTGAGTGCTTCTCAATGTCCATATACTTTCTGAAAAAGAAAAGATAGTCGGCTTGAAATGCGTGAAGCGCAGCCAGAACCAATTTGATGTGGACCGCAGCCTTGGTTCTCAGGAGGGCCGGCCTGGGAGCGGGGAGCTTACGGTCCCCAGAGGACACGCGCTCGCACACAGCCTCCCAGCCTCAGGGTAGAACGGGCCCCAAGGAAGTCTGTTCAGTTTCCTGCGTGGAGCTCTTCGGAAACCTGAGGCTTTCCTGCCTCAGGATAAGGCCGCTGGGCGTCCCTCAGGCGTAAGTCTACGAGACAACAAGTCTGCAGGACACGCATCTCCTTCTCTCAGGGGAGAGGACAAGAGTGCCCCCGATGTCGTCTTCTTCCTTCCAGTTCCTTCGCGTCCACGCACACACGGTGCTGGACCCTGGTCACCACTGTAACCATCGCCGCTTTTTTCCCCAGGAGAGACTGCCGCCCCCCACCCCCCACCAACTCTGTAGTTTAGGTAAGGAGAACAGAGCTTTGTGCTGACGGAGCGTGGGTCGCCACGCCCGTGTCCTATGGCCAGTCCCGCAACTGTTTTGCACACTTAGGCTCTTGACCTCAAAGGTTCCCAGGGTCCCCAGAGAAAAGACAGTGGCCTCCACACGAGATCTCACTCTCCTTGTGAATATATCAGACAACAGTAGTCCCTCCGTGCCTAATTCTGAAAATCTAAAACTATATCACATACAAAATGAGAATATCTAATGAGAATAGAAAACTAGCCAATAGCCCAACTGGCTGTGTTTGGGGGAAACACGGGGAAAGCAAATTTTCCCAACGCAGGAAGGAAAAGAACGGATGTGCTCACTCTTGGACCTCGTGGGGGACCGTTGGGCACTGCCAGTAGGGGAAATATTTGAAGGCCTCCAGTCCTGCAGCCACATAAAAATAGTTGTCTTGCAAATCCTTTGAGTTTTCCAAAAGATGCCCGTTCATTGTAAATAGTCTGCAAATAAAGAAAGAAGAATTGGGCTGGAGGTTTCAGAACAGCAGCATCAGGGCTGAGGTGACTGTGTAGATGATGTGACCACTATGTGGGCGACCGATGCTGTCGTGAGCCAGCGTGACCCAAACGAGCTAATTAAACCCGGGGTGGGGGTGGGGGGAGTGCTCATCCAGGATTAGGCTCGCTTTCTATTTTTGGATTTTTAATTAAAGGATATTTTTAATTATGTACAAGTACTCAGAGGCCTTGAGAGCATTTTAAATTCTTGGTTGGTGTTCAATTAATTTTAACTAATAGCAGCTAAAATTAATATAAATTGGCTTATGCTGTTACAACAATACTTGAAAAGCAAACCAACATTTATTAGCAAATACTCTTTTTTATAAGCACCAAAAGACTGATATCTGTCTGCTTTTTATCCTGTGCCCTTCTAGGCTGGTAGTCACTCACTAATTCATTTATTTAAGAGACAATTCGGTTATTCCATGCTGAGCACCTCTTATGCACTAGACAATGAGGTGGCATTGCTTTGGATAAAAATAGGAATAAGAAAGTCACTGCTGCCCCAAAGTCAAGAGCGTCAGAACCTATAAAGACATGTGTGACCAGCAAAGGCCCAAGGGCGGGGCTTCTACGAGGAGCAAGGGGACGCTCGGGTGCAGGTGTCACAGAGGTGGGGGAATGTGCCGGGTGGGAGGGTGGGCAGGGCTTCCTCCTGTGAAGATGGGGTGCAGCAGGGGGGGCCTGTGCAGAAAGCCAGGACACAGGTGGGCGGCCACAGAAATGTGAGACGCAGACACAGAACTTGAACGTCGACTCCCAGAGCCTGCAACTCGAAGGACAGGCATTCATCGTTGACTCAGTGACTGGAGGTTTCCGTAGCAGGGCGGGTGAGCGCTATGTCTAAGCAACAATTAGCTGACAGCTGGGGGACGGGGGTGACGGGGAAGGACCTCCCCAAGAGGAGACACAGGGGACGGCCAGCACAGGGTGGAAAAGAAGAGGGGTGACGCCGGCACATGGACAAGGGAGAAGGCACAGAGCATATGCTCCCCCCATCAGTCCTCTCGGACACCAGCGAGCCTCGGAAGCACCTGCAAGGCTCGCTGACACGCGGAGGGCAGGGCCCCATCCTCGGAGTCAGACTCCATGTGCTCAGCTGGTACGATGTGCTGTCCCCAGGGCCCCATTTGGAGAGTTGCCGCCTCAGGTCAACCCTGGAGGCACGAGGACTTCACGCCGGGAGAGAACTGGGAGAGGCCACCGGAGGCAGCCCTGGGTGAGGAAGGGGCAGCTGGGACTCGGAGCACAAGGCTTCCAGGCGAGAGCAGCACTCTGAGTCCTGCTCTCCCGCCGCTGCCCTGGGACAGCCGGTGCTCAGCAGCAAGTCAGGGGAGCTCAGACACGCTCAGCAGGCGAGGGGCTGCGGGAAGAGGGGCTGAAGCTGCAGCCCAGAGCAGGGCGCCCCGCCAGAGCCGCTGCCCCGGGCGCTGGGGAGTCCGCTCGGAGGGGTGGAGCGTTCGGTAGATGCCACCGAGGCAGAAGTGTTGGAACAGATGGACCAAGAACGTAACGCGAAAATGAAGAACATTATAAAAGAAATAAAGGAAGATGTTATCAACATGAAACAACAACAAACCATAAAAAAACAAGTAGAAAAACTGACTTGAAACCAGAATGGTGGAGACAAAGGACACCCCTGAGATGGGGGTAGCGTGGACACAGGTAAGACACACGTTGCTGTGGGGAACAGGACACTGAGGCGTTCTCTCGGGAGGAGGTACAAAATGAGAAACAGGATACAGAAAAGCCAAGAATAAGAAGGAGTACAGGTGCCAATATGCAGATAATAACCCCCAAATAGGTCAAAAGCATGGAAGGGAAGAAACGTGTCTAGCAATAATGAAGATTAATCTCATGGCATTAAAGAAAGAGGGAAGGCCTCACATCGATGGTGCCTTTTAAAGAGGCAAGAAGAATCGTGAGTGCAGCTGACGGCCTGGGACGGAGGGAGGTGCGTGCCAGGAATGCACCATAGGCGTGGTGTCCTGGGGACCAGCGGGCCCTGCACACGCTCGGCTCCAGTGGCCTGGCATTCACCAAGAGAGTCCAGGTCTCCCCCCAGCCAAAGGAGGCCTGCACGGAGATCAGCTGTGTGTTCTCTTCATTCAGCGATGACACAAAATAAGCAAAAGGACAGGACTTCAGATGATTTGATGAAGGTGCTGAGTGACCTCCACAGCTGCCAACCACGGTTCAGACCCCCTGGGCCACGGGCCACCTGGCTGGGTCCAAGCCTGAGCCAACGGCTGGGGTCGCGCCCTGGAACACTTCTCCCCCAGGAGAGGTTCCGAGCCCACTCCTCGAGTGGGCAGGGTTGACATAAAGAGTAAACGAATTCGTTAGTGGGAAGGACTTTCTTGAAAGAGAAAATTCTGCTCGTGGAGACATGAGAGTGTGCCCCTGTGGGTCAGGCTCTGATCCCACGCTCATGGGCGAGCACGTGACAGCCTACATGTGACGGTTGCAGAGCTGCAGGATTCGCTGACGTGGGAACGTGTGGAAACGCACAACAGGAACGGCGGCGGCCAGCGAGGTTGTGCATACAAATACGTGTGTCTCGCTAGGAAACACTCGCTCACCACCAGGTATTTTTATAATAGCCTATCTCAGAAGGCGTGAGGGTTAGTGAACCAATTGTTTAGAAAACTGTCCTGTAACCTGGAAGGCATTGTAAAAGTGTCAATGATTAAATTATTATTTTTTTTACCATATAAGGATTGGGAATATAGTAGAAAATGTCATTTTTTTTAATCCTTTCCTTTATCAATAGACAGACAATTTGGCTATTTTCCCCAAATAAATGTACAGTCTGCCTTAAAGGAATTTTGATATATTTATAATCTTTAACAAGATTCTTTTTTAAGTGCATGTCACTGTTAAAAGACACCTCTGATTTTCAGCGGAGGCTTCAAAATCTCTGGGTGCAGAGCTTAGCCTGGGCATCCTGAAACCTGGTCCTTGGGTCCCAGAGGTCAGCTCAGCCAGTGTCCCCACCACCGAGGATGACAAAGCAGAGATTTACCAGCAGTCTCAAGCTTGAAGAAGCTTAAAATATAGTACGGGAGAGGTGAGAGACGGCAAGCCCACCTGTACCCATCATGGAGGTTGAGTGGGATAGGTGAGAAATCGTGCCCTAGGACTCAGCCTGCAGCCATACCCTCAAACACTAACTCTTCACATCCAACCCCACGACTTCAAATACCAGCCACTGTGCGGACACAGCGCTAACTCACTCCCGCAACCTGACTCTTACCCCATCTTCAGACTCACACAGCCGACTCGGCACATCGCCACTCAGGCGGCAATATCATCTCAAACCCCGCAAGCCCCAAAGTCAACTCCCCGGAAACACACTCCCCTTCCACCTTCCCCACCTCAGGAAATGTCACCACCATTCCCCAGGTACTCTGACCGAAAGGCTGGGAGCTGTCCTTCCCCTTTCCCTTCTTCCCTCCTTCCTTCCTTTTTTCTTTCTTTCTTTCTTTCTGACACAAGAAAAAGCCATAGCAGAAACCTCAGCTGGACCATATGGACGCTCCCTACGGAACGACACATGTAGCTAAACGCGAACCGCATCTCTAAGGCTAAACTTCAGCGGCAGTTTTATTCAAAAGCAACATCCCCAGTGATAATGAAACGATGTATATATTATATCGCTCTTTCTCTCCCACTAGTTGTACTTCTACAAATTTCTTTTAGTTCCAAGCTCTGCACTTTTCCTAAAGTCAACCACGAAGAACTAATTCAAGCCCAGGGAAAAACAAAGAAAAGTTTATTGATCTCATGCTCTATTTTCCCTCTAAATACCCTATTTCCTTACTCGCCTCTCCTGTATGGAGGTTCTCTCTCCTCCTTTCGCCGCTATTTTAGATGTGAAACTCACGATTAATTCCACGGTTGTCCCTAGCTTCTTGCAAAAATATACACTAGTCGATCTGCTCCGCACGCTTGTTCCTATCTCTTTAAGAATAATACACAAATGCTGTAACTGCATCTGGAGCCATCTGGGCACCTACAGTATTGACGTTCATACATCGAAGTTCCCTGAGCACTCAGGCCTCTCACTGTCCCAACAGTTTCTGTCCTACTCACAAGTGGATACATCAGTTTCATTGTTGGTGTCACAACTGTTGATTGTAAACCAATCTTTTATGTTTTAATTCACCTCCAATAGAGTTAATTGACCAAAAAAAAAGTGAACTAGGAGGAAACATTTTTGCTCGCCCACCCCAGTGCCCACCATGGGGACCACCCCTGTCTATAGAGGCAACCCTTGTAACATCAGCATCGGAGCACACGTCCTCACTTTTCAAGTTTAAAGATTTCTGTCTTCCCGATGCTGTCTCAGGTCACGCCCACGCAGGACAGTGGCCTTCTGTCACTCAGCGGTATCCCAACACCGAGGTCTTCACCTCCGGGCCTCTCTCTCCGCTCTAACCGCCGGGCCCCTGGTCTCAGACCCCAGGACTGTCCCGGATTCACTCCCCAACCAGCTCTGAGGCTGCCTTCTCCTGTGGTCAGCTGCCAACGGTCAGACAATGCCACAGTTCTGCCGGTGGGCCCCACTCCAGCTCTCAGCACCCAGTCCCACTGGGCCCTCTGGCTACTCAGCACCCTCCTTCCACGTCCCTCTGGCTGTCCCTGCGTCTCCTCCTGTCCCTTCACAAAGGACAGCATTTTCACCACCTGTCCTCCAGGTCACACCACCTTCCACCTGCTCAGGACCGTGCTCCCCACCTGGCCACCCACCCTCCAGTCCATCATCACGACTGCCGCGCCATCTGTCGTCCACACCAACAGGACCCAGTGGCCACAGGACTGCAAGGCGCTTGCCAGGCCTGCAGGGCCTTCGTGGTCTGGATCCGTGGCCGCAGGGCCAGCCTCAGGCCTCGCTGCTGCCTCACAGTAGTCCTGAGTCGTGTATAAGGAACAGCGCTTCCCCCAAGAGGCGTGCTTGTTCTCAGTCATTCTCCCCAGCCCCACTGAATGCTCACTGCACACCAAGCACTATTTAAGCACTTCACACGCATCTGGGAGTAGGTACTATTATGATTTCTAATTTTCTAGATGAGGGAACGGGTCTGCAAAGGTCAAGCGTGTGCCTGAGGTCACCGGGACGCAGGTGGCAGAGTCCTGGCAGGCTCCCCATCAGCCAGTGGCCACGGCTCCCTGCACCTCCTTCTACAAGAATCCATCTCCCCACTAACCGGCCAAGTCTGGCTCAGACTCCGGCGCCCCACGTGACTCCCCGACTTCCCTGACCACTGAGGGGCCTCGTTACACCAACCGCAGGGGCTGGGGGCTCGGCTCTGTGTGGTGAGGCCTCTTCACCACACCCGGCGTGGGGAAGACGCTCAGTAAGTTCTATTGAATGAACCATGAAAGAAACCCGTTAAAATCAGTGTGGTACAAAGACAGGAAGTACCGTCCGCCTCCGAGAGTTAAAATCAGAGTTAACGATGAGTCATTTAGACTCTGCTGGTCTGGGCAGGACATTCTCCCAGAAAAGCACAAAGCTGAGCCTCTGGGCCCCCCAGGCGCCCTCCAGGGGACAGGGCCTTACTTTCGCACACCCCCCAGAGGGAAGACCTTCTCTCCAATGGTGGCCAGCACATTACTCCACTCCGTCAGACTGAACTTGGGTACGATAATCCGTACAGGCGGGACCAATAACCGTCCATTTGTGAAAACACTGTAAGAATAAAAAGAAAAGCAGCCATTAGTACCTCACACATGAGGGGAAAACACTGAACAGTGAAGGGAAGACATGTAATTACCGGACATAAAAAGCAGAGGACGCACTCCTAGTCCACGCCCTGCCCTGCGGAGGGGGCAGGCCAGCTGCGTGGGCGCTTGAAGCCTGGCGACAAGACAAAACGCTGGGGGAATACCTTCTCATAGAACAGAAAACACCTGGATGAGCAGGACGAAACTCTGCTTTTTAAAAAAAATGTGCCTCCGCTATGGTGGGTAAAGTGGCAGAAAATTGAATCCATTTGGAAAATAAAGGGGGACATTTTGCCTTTAAAAATGCAGCTATCTTCCCTACCCATGGAGCCAAGACAGTGTCCCAAAGGAAACAACGTGCAATCCTCTGAAAAGATTGTAGAAACAATTGATTTCGCTCTTGCACCTTTAAGGCAGCTTTCAAAATGATCCCAGTGGCCTTACTTTATCATTTCTATGTGTCAGCGTTGGGGTACAGGGGCGGGGGGCTGGTGCAAACCCAGGGCTCTGGTGTCAGGAGGCTGTGCCACTCAGTCAAGGTTGTTGGGACCCGGCTGCGCGTCAGTGTCTGACATGGCCAAGCGCACTGCAATTGTGACAAATTCTGAAGCTCTGACTGAGAAACAGATACTGCTTTATATCTTAAAGAATTTAAATTCCCCTTTGGATGCCCCCCAGTAGGACGAAGATCTTACACCCCTTCTAATAGATATATCACAATAATTCTATTTTATACACTAAAGGCAATTTTAGTCACACCACTAGTCTCTTAGTAAAGGTCAAAGTACACACCCTATAAATCTTAAGATCCTGCTTAGCTAATAGTGTTTAGGATAATTGTTGAGTAGACATAGTCACTATAGGTAAAAGGATTAAAACACAGTTAAGATACGTTGATCTTTTAGCATAAGAAAAAGTCAAGCTGTACCCTGGAGCATAAGAATTACAAGGAAGTAAAACCCTGATCTAAACTATGTAAAAGAACTTTTTGCTGATGAGATAATGGTCAACTGCCCAATATAAAAAGGGGCATGCTGTAAACTAAAGTGAGACACTTCTCTTCTTGAAAAAGCACTCCTGTGTCTCCTTGAGTTTTTTCCTTTTTCCTGGCCGACTCCGCCTCCACCTGAGGGAACCCCTGGACGCCCGCGGGAGCTGGTCTCCCGCACAAGGCCACCTGGCAACAGTCTCAAACTCTTGTGACTCCTGTTAATGTTAAAATAATGTAAATATGAGGCTTATTTCTGTAAGTCTAGAAGTAATGAGTAGTATTTAACAACACGAGCTCGATTTTACAGTGCTGGCTCTCCGTTTTTTATGCTATTATTTATAGTTGTTGCTGTTTTATTGTTGTTGTTATTCCTAAAATGCAAATAATTTAAAATGGGAGAAGTACATCTTTTTTCAGAGTAAATATAAATTTTAATATAACATGCTTGTGCACAATGAAGAGAATCTGCTTTCTCTCTTAAAGCTCTGGGGACACAGGCTTCCACTCAGCCCAGGGCCCAGCTCCTCCCATATTAAAATCCCACCCGAAACAAACCCTTGAAGGGAATGTCCTGCGCAAGTTACATCACAGTTCATCCGTGTGATAGCACTACTCGTAAATATTTGCCAAAGTATTTCCACCTATTGGTTTTACTGAATGGTTCATGACAAGTATTTCCAAACATAGATTAATAGTAATAGTAACAATAATAAGAGAGAAATGTTTAAACAAGGTCATATTGTATTTTTGTCTAAACGTTTAAAGCTACTTAATATATATTCTCAACCTGAATTTGGGGACACGGGCAGTTATGGGCTGAATTGTGTGATCCCAAAGTTTGGGCAGCCCTAGCTGATGAATACACACATACACACAGACAGACATATACAGACACAGACACACGACATACACACACAGACACACACACACACATGCACACACTGCTGATGCAGCTAACCATGAGCGCAGTCTTCTCAGAACACACTGTGGTAACGGAGCCTGATGAGATGTGCAGGTCGCTCACCACTGACCCGTTCTGTCTACTCCGTGAAACCCAGCCCACGGAAATGAACAGAGATTTACATGTAAAGATGTTTCTCGTAGGATTAAGTACAAAAACAAAAATATAAAAGCAACCTAAATGTCTAAACATGGAGGAATGGTTAAATAAATTACTGCGTAGCCATACAATAATAACTGGTGCCGCCTTGGAAACTGCTTCTGCGGGATTTGTATTTATAGGGGACAACGATCAATTATAACTGATGCCGTGAAGATGCACGCCGGTAGGTGCCGAGGGAGCACAAAAGGAAACATCCCACGAGGCTAACAGTGCTTGTTCGGATGAGTGGGATAACGAGGGGCTTTGATTCTTTACACTTTTCTTTTTATAAGAAGCATATAAACATGGGGAAAACTACTTCTAAGAATTTTTTTGAATTTTTAAAGGTAAAGAAAAGAAATACATACTATATCCAATTTATAAATTAGGAAATTGCAGATTCAGAGATAGTGGCAGACTAAACACGTCTCCAGAAGTTTGGGGGTTGAACTGAAGAATGAACCAGGCACTCCTTGCCAGGTTTTAGGTCTGTGCTGTCCTAGCGTCACACAGTCCTGCATCTAAACCCCAAGAACAATGTCCCTGGAGGGAGAGGTAACGGGCGG